GTTTCTTCCACCTTACTTCCTCTCCTTGAATCATCACAGCAAAGCTGAGAGGCACAGCAGAATATTATTTCCTCCTTTTGACTGCACGTTCAGAAAGAGACCACCCCCTATTTCTGATAAGGGGGAAAATCCCAGGAAGTGAAGAGGACATCTATGCATTCTGGTGTTTGATGACTTGACTGAAGGGGCAGACTGAATGTGGTCATCCCAGCAGCCTCTCTGCAGCTTCAAAGCATCCTACAGCAAAGCAAGGGAAGCCTGCAATAAGATGACTGTCAAACAATGCACTTCCTAATGCCAAGTTTTGCCAGTTACTGTGGAAGGTGCTCTGTATAGAATACTTGCCTGGTACTTTCACTTTGCCTTATATCCATCACTGACAATCAAAGGCGGTGGGGGAGAAGTGGAAGATTTTTTGCAAGCCCGCTGATCTCAGGGCATCACAAGCACAGTAAATACCAAGCTGTTTTTTCTACCTTTATGAACAATAGCAATGACAAAAATACAGAAGTACTCATTAGGAAGCCTCTTGCAGAAAGCCTTCCTATGAAATTCTGTTTGGAAATAGTGCAGAAACCCCACTGCGACCGCCTGCAAGAGCATGCTGCAGAACAAGGAAGCTATCTGCACATGGCCTCCAAAGCAGAACACAGACTGCTAGGGCACAAAACCAGCATCGCAATTACACTGGAGCAATTCTCATTTGTCCCACCATACCCATGATCTGCAGGTGGCATTTAAGGCTGTGAAACAGAAGTACGCGCTGCACTGAGCCGGACTTCGCTGCAGACTGAATCATGCAGGTTCATCCCCAGCAGAGGGCTTGGTTTGCTTAATGCTTTAATTCCTCAGCCTTACATCTGATCGAGACTCAACACGAGAGCGTCCTGTTCTCCCATTAGCGTGAAAGCTGGGTCACAGCTCAGCTCATCTCTCACAGCAAAACCAGGGGAAGTGTACGCCATGCAACTCCATCACGAGGACTTTGGGCATCCTGATCAGGAGTAAAGTTCAACAAGTTGCTATAGCAATTTCCTGCTCAGGATTTGCTAAGTCTAGTTTTTCCTTTCAAATTGTGTGAGAAAGGTGAAGAAGCTTGTCTCTCTTGCAATTGCTTCAGAGCTTCAACTTACATCGGTAAAAAAACCGCACAGCTTTGTGGTGCACGTTCCCCTAAAACCATCCCTCAAAGTGTAACTGGAGCATCTTGAGGAGTTTACATTTTTTAAATGCAGCCCACCTAGATTAAACGCTCAAACTCATTCCCTTTTAACAACTTCAGCCTTCCCTAAATCAGCTAACTGAGGTTACCCAGGTTCCCCTGCCTCACTTTAGGCACGTAATTCCCCACTTTCAATGCTGAACCATTGTTGGATGCTGTCGTGCAGTTGCCACACTGCTAAGCAAGGGATAAGTGATTCCTTTGTGAGGTTTATGGACTATTTTGGCATCTCTGGCATAAAAACAGGTTGTGAAAATATTTTCACATGAAGGTCCTATTTTTCACACAACCTCAGCTCAGTGAGGAGTCTAAAAATTTAGGTAACAGAGTTGGCCTAAGATCATGTGTACCCAGCAAGTTGTGTTATGTTAGCACACCAAACAAGGATGCTCATGTGATTACCTTTGGGGGAAATGCCAAACTCACCGTAGAGAGCTGTCCAAGTTTGATTGATTACATCTAGACATACAGTTCCTGACCTGAAACATAGGGGAAGGACACAGTCACAGTCAGAAATATGTTGGAGATTTAATATAATGTCCCCTCCCCTTGCCCTACCTCCCCCGACCCCAACGTGTCACATTACGTCTATCTTATGGCTAACACAGGGGACAACCTTTTAACTACATGAACCTTCAAACTACGTACAGTGAGAGTTAATTGGAGCCATTACTGGATTAGTTGGTCCATTTGGGGCTCTACTGAAGAGACTAAAGGATAAGTGGCTCCATTTAACAATACCCTAAGTTAAAAAAGGTACGGCAGAACTGATTTCCCCTGGGAAGAAATTTGAGTACGTAAGCTACTTGAACTTGGCTAACCACTGCAGAGGGAGCTACAGCTTAGCTGATGTAGCTTTCTCACCTCGCTTTGAGAAAGCCAGCATAATGCCAGTGAGAAGGGGCACTAGCAACCCTGTATTTTCTGTAAACGAGGCATGTTACAGTGCAAAAACCACATCCGAGATGTCTGCAGCATGCATCTCTCCAATCTTGCCTATAGCCTGATCCGTCTGTGACGGTTAACTTGAGAACTCTTTTATGACACCACCTATCAAACTCCCCACTCTGGACTCTTAGATTAGTTAAAGCATTATTTAACTCATCAGCATATAACCGTGAAGCCAGAATACAGTTGCAATTCGACAAAATCCTTAGAAAAAACACACACGAGGGATTTACTTACGCTTCGTCAATGTTGGGATGGAAAATTTTATTCATGAATCCTGCAAAGAGACACACTGGTAAATAGCAGAAAACAGCCAAAGACTTTTACAAAAGCAGCCTGGAATTTACTGAACAAGGACTCATCTGACTAGTTTCAAAGGAAACTCTGGCTTGGCTATATTTAGCTACCTAACCTTTAAAACACTGAGGCAGCATTTTGACCCTAGGGTCCTCAGCCGTCCCCTTGAACTACATTAAAAACCTCTGCTTACAGTGCAATTGTATCACAAGGTTTTGCAGTCCGTTATTATCTTAAACTGTATTATCTTAAAAGGAACCACCCATTAGCCCCATTAAGCATACGCATCTGATGAAGTGGTTTTTAAAAGCTGCAAGGAACTTTTGAGCAAACACAAAACAGAACTTTCAAGCTCAGCATTTGCTTTAGGATTAAGTTTTTAAAATGCCTCCTAACAAAGATTTTCTATAAACTTCAAGTCACAACGTTAGTCTACCTTTGGAAGCCAGGCAGAGGCAGGGCATGCTGCAGACACGCACAGCTAACTCTGCAAGTTTTACATCAACACAGCAGCAATTCCTCGGTTGGTACCTCAGGTCTTTTAGTAAGGACAACAGCAGAGGTACAAGGTCAAGAACAAGAAAGCTTATCACGGCTTTGCTCACACTTCAGACTTCAAGATTTGATAAGCCTTTTTTGTTCCAACTTGCAAATGAAACTGTTGAAAGACCCTGTGGTTTCAGGAGTTGCAACATTACAGTAAAAGATACCTTTAGCTGCTCTTACCAGATGCCGTCTTTGAAGTGAGGCAAGCCATGTTTTTCAGCTACCTAGTTTAACCTCGGGGTTAAAAATAGATGGCACCTCAGACATACCCCTCTTCTCCCACAAACAGAGCTTATTATCCCCGTGATAGTCAGGTTTTATAGTATGCCACGTCTGCTCCTGTTGCCTGTACGGGCATAGGGACAGCACGTCTACCCTAAAAGCCAAGTGAAGCGTTTCAGACGATGCCTGGGAGCAGATGCAGAATCCTGCTTCCACCAAACCATTTTCTTTCATTTCAGTAGCAGGAATCCAAATACATGAGGGACACGTGCCCAGCGTAGAACAAAGACAGCGAAGGGATGCAAAACTAGGCTTTCCAGCTACTTCCCTTTCAACGGGATCGAGTATTCTGGTATACTTCTGCTAGCTTGGCAGAATCATTTCAGCTCTGCCCAGAAGGGCTGCTTCAACCTTTGACTTCGTACCACTTCAAGCTGCTTCAAGACCTTCAACGTTTTTTTTTTTTTTTTTTTTTTGGGGGGGGTTGTTTGTTTTGCTTTTTCCCCTTTCTCTTTCCCCAGAACTTAAAATAAAGCCTTTTCCCCTTTGCTGTACCTGTACCCCGTAACCCTGCAAAGCCCTGCAAACAGGGCCCATGAGGGAACCATGCAGAAGTCTACTTCAGTTAAGAGTAGATATTCCTATTGGCAACGGTGCTTGCTGATAAAAACGAGGATGAAATTTAGATCTGGGATACTAATTCACCTAATCCATTTAAAAAGGCTTCTTCCTGTACTCAAAAGACCCAGAAGTTCTCTCTTCGGAGCAGGCCAAGGAACGCAAACACATGTCACTGCTTGCAGTTCAGTGAACTCCGCACCTTTACGCCCTTCATCGTGCCGCTCCAAGCGGGATCCTCCTGCCGTGCTGGTACACCATCTCTACCCAAACAAGGAAGCGATCTCAACTTGAGAACGGCTCCCATCTGGCGTAGGAGCTGATTTAGCTCCGTTTCTTTCCATGCATTATGGCACAAATATAATTTCATGTTTACTTGAACTACTCTGGTTTTGCATAAATACAACGGAGGACTGAAACGATGCCTGAAAGCAGAACAGTCTCTAAGAGCAGCTGAGAGCTGCCTGAGCAATTCCCCTTTAGCGAGCATCTTTCAGAAATGTCCTTCCACGACTTGGACTTGAAAAACCAAAGCAGACTTGAAGAGGGAAGTAGTAGTTCTATCAAATATTTACATGCTGGTAACTCTCACAGGTTTAAATCAGGACACAGATCTGTTATGCCAGGCGCTGGAGAGGCTCAGCAAGCCACGATCCCAAATTTAAATCCTCTCTCTCAGAGGGGGGAAAAAGCAAAGTTCCTGAAAAAGTAGGAGAGAAGACAGAAGAAGGCACGCGAGGTAACAAGAATAGGACAGTAACGCGCAGAGCTGCTGAACTGAATACCGAGATCAGCTCTCTTAACCCAGCTAGATGCAGGCAGCCCTCAGACCTTCCCTGCTTTTGGTTCTCCATTCATCTCACCGATTTCCAACTTACTTCTAGCACAGCCACCGAGAGCTGGCTGGGCAAGGCCCTCTTGCTGAGAAGCGTGCCAACGCCTGTACGTTCAACAGCACTCTTCATTGACACACTTAAGTGTTTAAGCTAGATCCAGTGCATTCAAATACCTAGATCCAGAGGGCCCAGAGAGATGAGATTAGGCTATCTGCTCAGGTGTCTCCTGCACTGTAATTCTTCTGTCATCTCTGCATTTATCCAGGCAAAAAACAATCCCTTCTTTACAGTGGCTTTGGACTTGAGCTTTCCAAATTAAACAGCTGTTCTTCAAGAAATAACACACGTTCTCTCCCTACACTCTTCGTTTCCTAAGTTCTTACCGCATCTTGTCCCAGCTCTTCATCGTCCCCCAGTCTCACTCATTCTCCTATGGACACAAATTGCCCGTGGCCAAGTGCAGCTCTAGTCGTCTTTTCCTGGCCCATAAGATTTACATTACCTCCTGCCTCGTTCAAGAGGTCACTTGCAGTGATAAAGCACTATAACATTGCTCCAGTAATATTGACTTGATTTTTTTTTTTTTTAATTCAGACAAAATATAAATACAGAGCAAGCATAACTGGAACGTCATTTGTATATAGGCATTTTATAGAGAAAGCCATGAGTAACACAAACTCGAAGCAGGCATAAAAATGTTGACAGGTTTTCATTGCCATAGTCTTGAATACAGCATAGCCCCGACAAAAACACCACGCTCAGCTCCAGATAAACCAGCAAGCAGTAACGACTGCATTAACAGTGCTAAGGGACAGGACCTCGGCTTTGAGCTCTCACCATGATCCAGAGCACGAAGATGAAGTAAAGCTGATGCAACCACACAACCGAGATCAAGTTCACACCACCCTTAGCTGGGCAACATACCCGGCAGCCTAAGTAGTCGCGCTTTTGGGCATTCAAGTGTCTGTAAATATGTAGTTGAACATTTCAAAATAACATTCACACTGAACACCGATCTACTGTAAAACCCAACGTTTAGGTGGGATTGTAACAGGAGAATGATTTCAGTCCCTGCTTTCCAGCAGAGACATGATTTATGCTTCAAGGTTGCTTCTGAAGGTAAAACAATTACAGAAAATCTGTATTGACCAGAAGCCTTTGGATGCTAACAAAAAATGTACAACCATGAAGTAGCACACAGAACAGGGCAGATCTTTTGATATTCAAAGATGCTGAGACTAATATGCAGATGCTGATCTTCAAAAAATGATATTTCAACAATAGCCCTGAAGTAACCACTTCCCGGCTTGACAATTCCTTGGAGAGGAGCATACTCGCGCATAAAAGGTCAACTAACTTAACTAATTTAAAGGATGCCAATCTTTCCTTGGTACTGCAAACAAACATTCATGAAATCCCAACAATTTCAATATTCTAGTTGGGATATGCCATATCCCAATATTTCAGCATGAAATGGTTTGTCCTTCACTGAGGTCACTTTGAAGATCAGGCCCTGTTTGATAGCTGAACGCTGTCCTATAGATGAGCAAAACCCCAGTAGAGAAACCCTGGGGAAGTTGATGTCAAAGGCTCTCTTGACCAATTCCAGACAAAAGCTCCCAGGATAAGGCTGAAAGCACCGCCAGAAGAGACTCGTTACTGCAAGTCGCTTTGCCAGAAGTACTCCTCTCTGAGGTACAGCGTGGATAATTCAATAACTCTGGGCAACCTGAGGACTCCCAAGGCACCCTGCTTTGTCCGATGGAACCATTAGGCAAAAAGCTCTTGCACAAGGTACTTTGCTCCCCTTATCACTAAGCCTATAGAGCTGGACTGTAATTTAGAGAGGGTCCTACCTCGGGACAGCCCTCAGCTGCTGCTCAGGCAGAAAGGCTTGGTTCTGCAAGTGGGCTTGTGGGACAACAGCGATCAGCAACCTGAGCTGGAGACAGCCTCTTTCCACAGCACCAATTGCACACCGCTGGCCTCCAGCAGTGGGACTGCTCCAGCAGTGGGACTGCTCCAGCACCCATAGGTACCTCTCCTCTGCTGCAGACGCTGGCTGTGATCCAAGAAGCAGCGCTTCAAGGGTAGCCCACTGCTTATCTGGGCTCAAAGTACAGCCAGCTTAGCTAGCAGGTTACGTGAGAGGTCCCAAAAAAGGGTCCCTCTTTCTGTCCCAGTCTTTCAAAGCAGTGCTAATGCCCTGTTGAAGCACACGGGAAGGCAGAAAAGCAGTGGGCATGCAAACACAGCGTGCTCCAGGCTCTGTGTCCTCTCACTCGGCAGGGAGTCAGCTGCGTGGTCTGACCTACACCAGTGATGGCTTTCAGGGGACTTCCCACAGCCTCAAGAGGACACGTGAGAGCAGAGCCAGTTTACATCCAGGGCTTACCTATCCCAGACTCATCCCTGCTTGCCCACCGGTCGTCTCTCTTTGCTCATAAAATAGGCAAAGAAGCATCCAGCTGACCTTAAACAACTGTGACAGCAGATTCATATCTACGCACCAGTGCGGTGCCAAACAAACAGCCAACAGGACAAACGTATAGTGACCGTTCCTGACTTTTCAACGCGGCAAGACTGAAAAGTCTGAAAGTTTTATTTTTAATGACAGATTAAAGCCAAGTCAGGAAATTGTTCAGACTGCCTAGCTGATGAGATGGGAAGGCGGTTACAGTCTCTCTGCAGCAGGATGTAGCGAGTTTAAATACCACACCAAATCAACGTGGCTTGGGTGAACACCCAAGATTTAGGG